CACCATTATGTTATGGCCAACCACTTAAACCACTTTTTAGGATTGTCCTCTACAAAGCAATGAAGATACATTTCTAGGGTTTTGTTAGTATCTTTGATTTGTCCATTGCTTTAAAGCTGATAAACACTAGATATACATAATTGGACTCCTTGAACTTTGAATAATTCCTTCTAATTTCACTAGTGAAAATAGAATCCTTATCAATGACAACGTTTTATGGCATTCCATGTAATCTGATAACATTATGAATGAAAGTAAGGGCCATATTTGATATTGTGTATGGATATATTGGTGTCATGAAGTGGTTCTATTTAAAAAGTTTATCCACGACTACTAAGATTATTGTGTAACAATTAGACAAAGGTAGTCCCTTGATAAAATCTATAGGAATGGAAGTCCAAGTCTTTATTGTATTGGTAAGGGTTGTGATAACCTAGAGGTTTTGTGTTTTCTACCTTAGCTTGTTAGTAAATCTCATATTATTTAATGTAATCTTTAACTTTCAACTTCATTCCCACCTAATAAAAATTTCTCTTTGCTCACCTCAAGATAACCTGAATGGCTCGCTACCAGGTTGTTATAAAGGTATTGCGTAATAGTTAATTTGAGAAAATGTATTTTGTTTATATAAACTCTACCCTTATATAACAATATTCCATTTTGTTTTTAAAATTTAATGGGATCTAATGTTTCATTTTGTAGAATATAAATTATACCTCAAAATTAGAATAATAGCTAGTTTTAAGGTTATATATATCTAATTAACTAAGAGTGTTGTAATAACCTAGATTTCTCAATTCACCTCTCTTTATTGTTTTCTAGATAGACATTCATTATTAAGTTTTCCTTCTCAACCCTGTATTCTATCACAAAGTCATACCTAATTAACTTAGTAATCCATTTTTGTTAGGTTAAGGTTTATTTTTTTATTTTAATAGGTATTTATAGCTTTGTTTGTATGTTTTAATCTTAAAGGATATACATGGGGTCTCCATTTATGAACTACCATAACTAAGGATAATAACTCCTTCATATGAGTGAACAATGTCAATTCTTTTTCTTTTAACCCTTTACTAAGATAAGTTAAGGGTCTTTTTTGTATTAAAATTGCCTTTATCCCTATTCTTAAAACATCACACTATGTTATAAATGATTTTGTGAAATCAAGTAAAACCAAGACAAGTGGGTTGGTCACAATAATCTTTAATGCTTCAAAGGCCTAGCCTAATCAATCTTTCTATCCCAAATAAATTCCTATTTTATAAGAAATTTAGTTAATGAACTTGTAGTTGTTCTATATCCCTTGATGAATCTTCTAGAGTACCTAGTTATACCTAGAAACTCGTTTAAGGATTTTATGCTATTAAGCCTGGACCATTTAATCATGGCCTCAACTTTTTAAGGGTCTATTTTAACTCCTTCTCCATACACATTGTAACCCAAATACGTAATTTCTTTACAAGCAAATATGCACTTGGAAAATATAACATAAAGTCTATATTAGGCCAAAATCCTTAAAACCTTTCTAAGGTGTTCTAAATGTTCCCTTTTCAATGGTGTTGTTTCTTAAAATATTATGGGAAAAAACCCTATACAAACTTCATTTGAAAATATTTAAATACCTCATTCATCAAATCTTGAAAAGTGAAAAGGGTATTGGTTAACCTAAATAGCATGATTAGGAACTCATAATGGCCTTCATGAGTTCTAAAGGTTGTTTTAGGAACATCTTTTGATATCATTATGATTTGATAATACCTAACCATAAGTCTAGTTTATAAAAGTATTATGAATCATATATTTCATTTAGCAACCTTTCTACCACAAGAATTGGAAATTTATCCTTCATTATTTTCTTGTTAAGAGCCATATAGTTTACACACATCTTTATAAGCCATCTGATCTCCTAACCAACAATATTGGAGAGAAAAAATGACTTTAACTTAGTTAGATTGTGCCTAACTCCAATAATTCTTTTATAATTTTTTTATCTTATTTTTTTTATAATAAGGATACCTATATATATATATATATTGATAAGTGGTATCCTTTTCTTAGTCATAATAAGATGATCATGGCTCCTGGTTAGTGGCAACCCTTTTGGTTTTTTAAAAACAGTTTTGAATTCATCTAGTACATATTATACCAGTTTTGGCACTAAAGTGTTGTGTTTGACCTCTATTTTTAAGGTCCAAATTTACAATATTAATCTATTAGTGTTTTTCTTCAACTCTCATAAAAATAACATTTAGCCCAGGATCAATATTTGACTCCTGGGTTTTGAAGCCATTCAACAAAATTGTAAGCTTATTATATTTAAACCCCATAGTCAGCTTTGAAAAATCTCACAGAATAAGCTTTAAATCTTTAAGCTATTAAGCACATAAGACCACGTTGCATCCCCTTAGATGATTTACTAAGGTGAAAGTTTTGAATTGGACTCTCAGAACCACAAACTTAAAATTTAAAAAATCACTCTCATTATTAATTCTAATCTCATTGATAATTCTTACCATAATTGATTAGTGCCTCATTAGAACTATTTCCATCTTCTTATCTATTTTAAGGTGAATGAAATTATAAGTGCTTTATGTGTCAATTTAAGCATTATAAAAATTTTATTAATAATGACTTTAACTCACATTGTTTATGAATTCTCTTTAAATCTTTCTAGATTGAATGTTAAAAGGACTCCCCATCATAGCATACAGGGATATCTCTGCTTCTTCATTAGTCATCATAGGTTTTTCTAAATCAGTCAAATCTCAAATTATCATTGATCCATCTTGATCTATTTTTTCAATTAAAAATAATTTTGGTTCTGCATAACTATGGCTTGGATTCCATTTAGCATTGTATTTAAAACATAAACTCTTATCTCTCTTTATTTTTCATTTGAACTGGTGTCACTTTTTATATTTGTAAGTTAGATTTTGGGTCTACCCTATACAAAATAGATAAAAAGCCTTTTTCCTTTGAAATCTGCTAGTATTGAGCCTCTAACTCTTGTGAATTACTATAATATTTCTTTCTACATTCTAGCCAATCTATAAGGTGTTACCAAATTATGAGAATTCATCATTCTTACCCAATCATGATCTCTTCCTTTAATTCTCCTAAGAAACAACTTAAACAATGTGAATTTGATAAGCCTCTAACTTTTTTCAAGATTAGTTCAAACTAAATAGATTGCTCGAATTGAATCTATATTGCCTTTACCAAATACTCTCAGTTTATAATAACTCTAATTTTTTTTTAATCTCTTAAAACAATGTAATAGCACACCCTTTCATTTTAAAAGGATGTTTAGGAGTGTGATAGCAATTGTTTTTCAAAGTGTTTTTTGTTTAGAAATGCATTAAAATAATATATTTTTTTATTTATTAAAAATTATTTTTTAGATTAACACATCAAAATGATCTAAAAACATTAAAAAATAATTTAAGCAAAAATAATTTTAAAGTTTTTAGAAACTTCATTTGAAATGCAATTTCAAATGGCCCTTAAAATTATCCATGAACATCCTATGTTACAGGGGAGTGTTGTGATAATTAAAAAATTAGGTTACCTTATATACTTAGCTAATTAGGTCATCCTTATTAAATCAATAAAAATCTAGTTTTATTGCTCTTAGTTGAGTTTATTAATTTCCAACCTGTTTTGGTTTCATCTAGTGATAGTCATTAAATGATGTTATTGGGGTATCATGGGGAGACTTGTCTAGCTGTTGTCCTTGAATCTTCACAATTTGATCAACCTTTATAGTAATATGTTGTAATTGTTGATCAAGTTCTTATAAAACCTTTTATTATGTCTATTGGTTATGTTGTTGTTCTTCCAAAACAATTGTTACATCTTGATTTCATCAACACTTGGTTTTAATACTAATTTTGTAATAAAAATGTAAAGCTGAAAGGAATTGGAATTGGAATTGATAATATTAACTAAAATGTAAAGTTATTGAATAAAAATTAGTAATTACAAGGGTAAAATAGAAAGAAAAAAAAGGTGTTTAGGCTGATTTGAGGTAGTCTAAACCTTCCAAGATTGAGAATTAGCATTGAGTTCTTCCGTAAGAAGAGTTTTACTTAACTAATACAAATAAACTTAATTTGACAATTTCAATTTAAATGAGTGTTTGGTAGTGTGGTAGCTGTTGCTTTTCAAATAACTTTTTATGCCGAAATGTATGTCAATAATATTGTTTTATTTTTTAAAAATTATTTTTAATATTAACACATCAAAATTATCTAAAACGTACAAACCATATTAAATTTCAATAAAAAAAATTGAATTTTTTGGAAACGCGGGTTGAACTGCATTCCCAAACTTTTTCTAAATGTGATGACAATTTGAATTTAAATACATAGGAGAGTTGTTTGGGATGATTTTATTGAATAAAAATTAGTAATTACAAGGGTAAAATAGAAATTAACAATTTACTTCCACAAATGCAATATCTCGAGTATCATGCTTGAGATGGGATGGGTCGAATTGCCAAGGACTGGAGGAACCGTTTATATACGTGGCACTGTATCTGCTGTAGCCTTATAGGCGAGCTTCAAGAGATAGGAACTGCCTTGAGATGGGTGTGCACACTTGGGGACATAGGCGAAGGCCCCCGTGCGAGCTGGAACATTTTTCTCTGCGATAAAAGGGCGCCATCAGTTTGTATTATTGGTTCCCTGAAAATGGGAGTCCTGTCCTTTTTGTTAGCGTAAACATTTTTGTACATCAGCAGCAATTCATCACTAACTGCAATGGTTACCACCTCACAAGTATGTTAGTCATTCACACAGATGCGCCGACAGGAAAAGTGACCTTAACAAGTAAATGAATTGAGGTGCTTCTAAGTTAAAATCTTTTTTATTTTTTTGGTAGATTCATGAAAGCACAGGAGTGACATTAACAAACTGGATTGACGAGGGGCTGAATTAACAGAACTGCAAAGGACAGAGGACAAACAGGGACGGTATGCCAAGCTATAAAATGGAAATTGATCGTAAAACCATTTTCATAATCTAATCAAACAGTATCATTAATTGGTCTAGTTACCATGACTGACCAAAGCTGTCATTCCACACGCCCTTACATATCCTTCATAAATGCCCAACAGTGTTTACACTAGCGAAAACTTTACCGGGATAAAGAAGTACATCTTTACATCAACAATCCATGAGCCATAAACAAAAATGATCCTTGTTTCAGATTTGCCTATGGCTTCGTGGAAGAGGAATCCTTGTGCGCAGCTGTATTAATCTGTTTGGACAGGTATGCTTCATAAATCTCCACGACAAGCCGGGGATCCTTTTCCACAAGCTCCATGTACTCCTCCCGCTTGGTAAGTTTATCCATGTTGTCAATGATCAATAACAACGCTGCTTCAAGCATATGCTTTGCATTATGCTGATGGGCAAAGGCATAGCTCACGACTGAGTTTTCCCAGTTTAGTTTTGACACCAAAAACTTCTCACAATAAGACTTGAGATGCTTCACCTGATATTTTTCGGCCAATATTAAAAGATCATAGGCCATCTGCTCATCAAGGCACGCTTCAGCAGTGTAAAAATAGTTGACAAATGTACGAAGTGCATCATATGATACATCACTAATCTTGATGGTACCACTCCGGCTTTCTTCCATCTCGTTCTCAAGCATTGCCTTGAAGACTGGGGAACGGCTCACCTGATCACAAAAAAAAATAAAAATAAAAACGTTAATCAGTAATAAAAAACTAAACAGGTGAGCATTTGGCATAACACATCACCAGATCATCTTGTCCAGTATGAAATGGACATGCGGGGATACCTCTTGTTTAGACTAAAACAGGAACAAGTTGAAGGCAAAATTGATAAATTGTCTCCCATGGTTCGTCAGTTCAAGTTCTGTCTAGTTTGTCAGAAAACAGGCTACAATGTTAATGGGGCCGAACTTAAGGGATATCTCCCTCCCAACCTACTACGTCTCCATCAAGCTATTTGACAAACAAAACCAGGCTTGAAATGGGATTTCTATTCCAGGAAGGTCATTGAACAAAAGCATGCAAATAATACTAGCCAAGTACGCATTTGAAATGAAAGCGATTATCTCACATAATTACAATAAAGAGAAAGACATACATATCTAGCAAGTGCCATGATCATTGACGAATCAAGAGATAGTGGAACTCACTCAATCAGGACAGGATCAATCAATAAATTGCAAGTCAATTACCATCTAATTGATCAAGAATAACAAAATTGGGGAATTGATTATTTACCAAAACGGCCTTATGAGCAGGGACTGGGACAGATGGCGCAGTCCCGGTAAGTCCATCATCGGAGGAAGCAACCAAAACGACATCAGTGAAACAAGGGCCAGCAGAGGAGCGGTGAGTGATGTGGTGATCGAGAGGAGACCAGAAACGCAAGAAGGCAACTTTAGCTTTGAGATCATCGATCTCTCTTTTAAGCTCTTCTTCAGTCTCGCTTGCTTCCTCATAACACTCTTTGCAAGTTCCAGCATCGCATCTACCGTAGTACTCCTTACAAGAAATGCACCTCATCGTTTCGGAATCGGAATCAGTATCGCTTTCAGTCTCCACCCGGGAGGACGCTGTACAGCGGTGGCCTCTCATTATTTTTTGCTGGGTTTTGTACAGCAAAAGGTGGGATGCCGTGCGATGGGGGGTTTTAATGAATTGGAGGTGGCTGGAAGCTTTGATTGATGCCTGATGGGGGCGTGGGTGCGGGTGCGGGTGCTTACGCTCACAGTGCAGACCGCAGAAAGCGCAGGTAGAGATAGAAATAAATGGGTATTCTTTATTTTAATCATTATTATTTTGTTAGCTCCGCTTGATGTTTTGATTAGTTTTTTTTTAAAAAAAAAAAAATCGCCTGTCGCCCTTTTTAATTTTTTTTAAAAAAAAAAAAAAAAATCGCCTGTCGCTCTTTATAATTTGTTTAAAATAAATAAAATAACTTTGCAACCTAAATTTTGCCGCGCGTAATACTTTACACGTGTATCTAAAAAAAATTAATAAAAAATATTTCATTAATTATAAGTTTGCTTTTATTTTCTATTTAATCATTAAAAATCCTCTATATTAAATATTACTAGTTTTTCCATTGAATAAAAAAAAAATCATAGCCATCTTCTTTCCCTAGATATCAAACCTAGTCATCACCTTCCTTTCCATGTAATTTCTCATCTATCAAAAAAATCCTTACAAAACCCTTGCTATTATTTATATTTCTCTTTATTTATAGCAATCAACTATTATTGTTAACGGTAACAAGCCTACCATATTTAATAGCCATAATTTACACATTCATTAATCATAATACTAATCAATTGTTATCATCAACAACTAGATCAGCTTAATTTATTATTGATAACTTCTCCAAATTAAAATTCTTGTCCTTCTCACTAAGAACTTGTCCTTGTTATTTGTCAAAATTAAAAACATAAGCTCAAAAGTCATCAAGAACTATATCCATCAACAACCAACTTGTCATTAAAAAATCTTAACAGAAAAATAACACTGTTTTATCTCTAACCAAATCTTTCTTCCTAAACTCCCACTCATCCATTCTAGAAGTTCAATAATCATAATAACTGGAGCTTCAACATCAACATTAGTTGGAGTTACAATGTTAACTGTAGCTAGAGCTTCAATAATGATAATAATTGGAGCTTTAGCAATAATGATGATAATTGGAGGTTCAACAACAACATCTTTTATTATAGCAATAACATCATTTTTTTAGTATTGAATGTCAAAGCCAAATTTAAAGCTTTCAATGCCAAATAAGAAATAAGAGAGGCATAAAAAATAATTGATTTAGTTGAAAACTATAACTTGCAAAGTTGAGGTGATGGCAACGAACAGGGGCGGAGTAAGAAAAAAAATTAAGGCCAAATTAAAAGAATTGTTTTAAAAGGGTTAAAATTTTAATTATTTTATACAAGGGAGGGGCTGGGAAAATTTTCCTTACAGGGGCCCTGGTCCCTACTAGCCCCCCTTCCTTTTACCACTAGTAACGGATATTGTCTTTGATTTCTCAACATTGAAGTTGTTCCATCAAGAGAAGAGATATTGTTCTTGATGAACAGTTTTAGTGGTGCAAAGATTGAGAATAGGATTGAAAATAATTCTTATTGAAGCTTTAACCGTTGATATTGTAGTTCAATCAGATTATAAAAAATTTGCCCAACTCTCAATTTCATAGCAAGTGATAAGGGATGACATAATTGATTATGTTGTTGATAAGATAAACTAGATACTTAGGTTTATAGAGAATCAAAAAATGATTCAAAAGATCAGAGTTCTTCCAAAGCTTTAATTTATAGGTTTTTCAAATGCTTTTGAAAAGAGGAAAATTGTATTTGAAGAAGAGAAAATTTTGATTTGTCTTTTGTTTGAGTTTTTTGTATATTATATATATATATAGACAAGTAGTTTGATCTTTTCATTCAATTTAAAAATTTTGGTTGATCAAAGATTCAAAGAGTAATTTTTGAAAACTTTGTAGACAAATGCAGTTTTAACCAAATTCTAAGATGCTAAGAGTAATTTTTTTTTTTCATATTTTCAAGCAGTGCTCTTATTCTTGTTATGATATATACTTTACAACAAGTAATTTCTTAAAATTCATATTTACCATCAAATTAAAAAAAAAAACTAGTCATCACCTTAATCCTTTTTCTCATTACTAGAATCTAGTCATCCAAACTTAACAATCGAACAATGGAATGACCAAGCTAGTATATGAGCTATAACATCTAATAATGCGAGCATCAATGTGAAATCACCTACTAACACTAAAAATTCAATAAACAACTTGAAATTCTTTTGTTCTTTCTATCAGAAAAGATGATGTCAAAACCTATAATTAAACCATACATCTAAACTAAGATCTACTACATGGTTCATCATATGAATAAACCTAGTAAATCTTATTTGTACATGAGCAGAAGTGGATGAAAATAGATTTAAACAATATGAACAATGGGTGGAAACAAGCCTAAAAATGTTTGACCATGACCTCCTTATCCTGTTCTTTTATTATGGTTTCTATCATATCCTATTCCATAATGAATATAATCTTACATTGTTACACTTAATTTTCTAGCTTTATTTGACTCTGAAAGTATTAAGAATGTTTCTCATTCAACCTATGCTTAAGGACCCATCATATTAGAAAAACACTTTACTAATAAATTTCATGTACATTTTTCTTTCTACTTTTGTCATCCTGTTACTTACACAAATTAGAACAACACCCAGTAACATAGAAATCACCATGAATTTAGCTTTCTTCAAATTCAAAATCTACCCAAAAATCATAGCTCTCTTCCTTGTTAAATAAAACCAAAATCAATCCATAAAACAAACTATAATCTTTGCCATTAGCATATCTCGAAATAGACACCTAATGAATATTGCAAACAACCCACCTTCCTCATCTTATCCATTATTTTTTTCAGTAGACATCTAATAAATATTGAAAATAACCTACCTTTCCCATCTTATCCACTAATTTTTTAACATCATTAGTTTTATTTTTTTAAGGCCATAAGGTGTTGTGGATTGTTATTGATGATGACGATTCAATTTTGTATGGGAGAAATCTTTAATTTGAGTTTTTTCTCTCTCTTCATAGAAGAAAATAAATCCATGTCCCCACATCAATATTCTATGTGATAATGTCAAGAAATATTCTTAACCCATTTAACAAAATGAAAACAAAAAAAGAGGATTTTTTTTTCAAAAAATTTGGTCTTTCACATAAAGTTTAGTTTTTTTTAGTTTGCAAGGATTAGATATTGACCTAATAATTTCTCATTCTTAGAAGATTTATGTTTGATTTGGTGATTATGTTTAGAAAAAAGAGAAAATGGTGTGTGAAAAAGAGAGAATCTATCACTTGAAGAGAAATGGTTTTTTTACCAAACTATAGGATGTTAAAAGTAATTTTCTTTTAATTATATGATTAAAAAACAAATGCTTGTAAAATCAAGCATCAATCTTAAAATAGATGTTTATTTGATACCATTATAATCCTATAAAAAGAAATAAAAAAACTAAATTATAAATTATATTTCCTAACTAAGTCAATATTGAAAGGTGAAATAAAAAAAATTAAAAGTTCAAAAACAAAAAAATAAAACATATCGGGTTTTGTGGATAAACCTAATAAACTCACAAATCAAGGGACTCATATCAACATATTAAATTCGTAAATTAAGTCATGGACTCCTTTATAATTAATAACTTGTTTTTTAAATTATTCTTTATTTAAATATATGACAATAAAATAAACAACCACAAAATTATGCACCAACCTAATAGAGGGACTTTTTTGAAATAGTTATAACTTCATAGAAAATAAAACAAAATAAATTATGAAACTCAAATCTTAATTAACTCAATATAAAATGATAAAATGATAAAATTAAATTCATTGAACTTGCGAACTGGATCAACTTGCTAAACCTGCAAGGAAGTACATGAACCTTATATATTTTAATTACACGGTTTTTCTCTAACACTATTTTTTTTAACTATATGATAAAAAAATGATCATAAAATTAAGTTTAATTAAAAAAAAAGGGTATTCCACCACCTAGGCAACTTAGATTAACCTACAAAACCCACAAACTAAATCATTAACTCTATAAAATTTAACAACTTGATTTTTTTAAAAATATTTTTTTATTTAACTAAATGTTACTGTGGTGTCTATTGACACCACAATAACTAGATAGAAAAAAATAAAATAAAAGGAAACAAATTATAGAATTTAATTTTTAACCAATCTAATACTGAATGATGAAATAAAAAAAACTTTTAAAAAATCAATTAAAAAATTTTAGGATAAAATCAAAGAGATTTTAAAAATAAAAGGACTCAACTAAAGAAAAAATAGAAAAGTGACAAATATAAAATAATAAATTAAAAAAATATAGGACTAAATAAAAAAATTTAAAAATCAAAGAACTAAATAAAAAAAAATAAAAAAAATGTTTGACACCTGTTTCACATACGCCAGGGCTCGCCCACCTTCGGAAGGCACATAAGCCTTCCTATGTTCTTCAATTGATATCTTTATTTATGTCATTGGAATCGTTTATGAGTTTTTCTACCTGTAACGCAGTGCATATTGCTATAGGAGATTTATTGTGGCTCTAACAACCTTTTTTTTTTCTCTGTATTTTTTTCCTCTCTCTCTCTCCTTGCCTTTTTCTATGACTGGCTTATTTATATTTCTCCTCTAGGCCTTAATGTTTTTATATTCTTCAATTCTAGTCCTTTGATTCTTAATTTTTAGAAAAATAAAGAATTCAAATAATATCTCGTAAAATATAGTACTAATCTAATGCTGGGATATTTTTTCAATAACATGATAACCATATAAAAAAAATTAAAAAAAGTATCAATTCTAAATCTCAATAACACATAATGTAAGGACTAAACTAAAAAAATCAATAACAAAATTAAAAAAAACCAAAATATAAAAAATAAATTTACAAAGTTAATGGGTTCTGATGAACAACTTTTTCCTCACACTGTTTAGTTTTTGTTGTAATTTTGTATCAAAACAGAAGGAGGATTAAAATTTTATAGGAAATTACAATAAGATTTTCATGAGCAATGGTGCCCTTCTTCAATTGTTTATTCTTGGCTAAGAGTTCATCTTTACCACAGCCCCGTCTGGCTTCGATGTAGCGATGATCTTCGAGGCCATGCAGGGAGAGAGTCCGGGACTTGTATTCATTTACAAGAAGCCTTATCAAGCTTTACACTTGCGATCA